ATTTATATAATATAAGTTATATAATTAATATATAATATTAGTTCGGTTCGTGTTCGGCTCGTTCGTTAAGAAACGAACACGAACTTATTTCAAACAAACTAAATTTTAAACGAACCGAACACGAACACAAGCTTTGTTCGTTCGTGTTCGGTTCGTTTACACCCCTAGCCACAAGCATGAAAGTTTGCATAAAAATCTTAAACCCATAACATAGAAGTGTGCATGAAAGACAAACTCAAAATGGATATTTGGCATGGAAAACAAAATGCCACAAGCAAGGATGCATGGCATGGAAGCAAACACAAACACATGAAAATTTAGCATGAAAGACATCAAGCTACAAGCATGGATATTTTGCAAGGAAAGCATAAAGTCACAAGTATAGGTATTTATAATGGAAAACATAAAACCACAAGCAAGGATATTTGGCATGGAAACAAACACTAACACATGGAAATTTAACATGGAAGACATAAAGCCACAAACATGAATATTTAGCATGGAAAACACAAAGCCTTGAGAATGGATATTTAGCATAAACATTAACTAAAAAATCTAAATTCAGCATTCGCATGAATTACCACATGAAGATTTTTTACTTGCATGGACCATAAGCACATTCACATATTTTTTTATGAAGACAAAAATAAGCCACATTGATTTACATGGAATAAACTAACATATGAATTTGCATGGAATAAACCGCTCGAAGGATTCTCTTCTTTTTTTTCTCCCTCCCTATTTTTCTTAGGTTAGGGCTTTCAGGTTGGGCTGAAGTGAGAAAAAGGAGAGGATATTTTGGAATTAAGGTTCAGGTAGTGATAAAGTGAGTGGAAGAGTGAGTGAATTAGGTAATTTTTTTGGTACTAGCGAAGAAAAGGGAGTAGATGGTTTTGAGTATGGTGAGGAGGGAGTGTGTGTAGTGTTGTTGTTAGGGTTTCAGGTTTTTGGAGACAGTTCTATAGGTGTATGTGGGGTATCATGGGAAGTGTGACTTTTTCCAGTGTGCAGACAGCCCGACAGATTCCACTACCGATAGTGATTGGGGTTGGATGATATCCCTAAAGGATAACGTAACTCGTAACATACGCCGTCTAGATTTTGAAATTAATATTATCTTATTTTTAATTGTAACATTTTTTCTTCTTTTAGCAATCTTGATACTCACTGTTACGCAAGGGGTGTATTTTATTTTTTGTATTGTTCTAAAATGATTTTTTGCTTCTCAAGTATCAAATATTTTACTATAAAAATTTTGTTGCAAACAATATTACCGCATAAGGGCAGAATGATTATTTATCAAGAAACAACTGCATAGCAATTGTTTTTCAACTGCACAAACCAAACAGTCAACCAGCTTATCTAGATCAACAGCTTATCTGGAGCAGTTGTTTATCAGCAGCTTATTAATAAGTTGCAGCTACCCCAAGCATACCCTTACTCTTAATTTAACCAACATCTCCTTAATCTTATTAAGAGCCTATTAGATAGTGCCTTATGTAATTGATTCTTAGTGTAATGCTTTCTCTCTTTCATAGTATAAAGTGGTGGAACCACTCACATCTTATCACCATCATATTATTGTTCATTTGGAGAAGTCGGCTTCTACTAAAAACACATTCATGTATAAAAAACTTTTGGGGCCACAAACCTGAGTTCCTTAAAATTATATTTGAGGCTTAAGCTAATCTAGTGAATGTTGATCCTATCTTCCAGCATTGCAATAAGTAAAGAATATCAGAATTTCTCTCAAAGCTACAAAATAAAACTCATACAATTATTTATTAAAGGAAATCAAAGATTTGAAATCTAATAAGAATAGATCCAACAAGATCTTGAACATGGGCCTTTATGTAACCCTCTCATATCTAAGGCTATTACCATCCAAAGAAATTTTATTAACGGATTAGCTTTTGAAAATAACTAGAATAATTAAAGGTCCAAATATGCATGGTCGAATAAAGGCAAAGATCTTGAATTCATCTATCAAATAGGGAAAATCAAAATCATACAAGAGAAGTTATTGCAAACAACACTACCATTTCTATTCAAAAAAGAATTGCAAAGAAAATTGTTGACTACTTTTCCTCCGTTCTTAAATGTCAAGGGAATATTGACCTTATTGAGCCATTCCCTACTGGCTATATTTTTAGATGTGTCGAATGTAGCTGTCATATTGATGCTTTTATTGATGATTAGATTAAAGGTCCTCTTTCAAGTATTGTTCCGTCCAGTAATTTCACATCTAAATTCTTTACAGAAACTTGAGAAATTATGTGTGCACATTGTATTAAGGCCATTAAAATTTCTTTAATACTTCAAAACTATTTGATAGAGTGAAACACTCTACTATCATTCTTATTTCTAAATCTACTCATGCATGATCACTTACTAATTAATGACTTATATTCTCTTCTAATACTATCAAATTGATTGTTGGTAGGATAAAATTATTCTCCATGATATTATTCATCAGCCTGAAGCAATGTTTATTACAAATAGAAATTTTGTAGACATTATTATCACGACTAATAACCTTTTTATGGTTTCAATTCCTCTTATCACCTTAACTACTTTTGCACTAAAATTAATTTAAGGAAGGCTTTCAACAAAGTTAATATAAAGTTTATTTATACTAATATGTTGACGATGTGATTCCTTTCTAAGTTCATTAGTTAAAATGAAGCTTGTATTGCTAAAGTGTATTTTCTTATTATTATCAATGGTGAGCTTAATGAAAAGTTTAGCACCTCATCAGGACTAAGACAAGGATAAAAAAGCCGCTAGGTTAAAATTTTTAGATGGGGATAGAAATTCAGCTTACTATCATGTGTGTATTAAGAGCAAAAGGAATACTAATTCGATTACTAAAATCATTAAATTTTATGGGAAAGTGCTTTCAACTCCTTGGGAAATTGAAGAGGATGGAATCAACCTTTTCACGGATCTGTTTAATGGTGATGATAATATTCTTTCTAAGTTAAAAAAAATGATAATTATGCTAACTATGCTGAGATCAATTGCACGAATCTTACTTATATTCCTTCTAAAGATGAAATCAAAAAAATCATTGACAGTATGAAAGATGTTAAGGTGGCTATCCCAGAGGGTTTCACACTGAATTGGTGGATACTATATAAGGTTTCCTCAGGGGAATTGATCTACCTAAATATTTTAAAATTTCCAATATTGTTTTAATCCATAAAGAAAAGAATGCTACAGGAATTGGGTGGCAGCATGTAAATGCACCTGATAGAAAATAAAAAGCCACTTAAATCTATTTCAAACAATGCAAATATGGGACCCACAAGGCACAGCCAGCCCGGTGGGAGGGATTCACAGAAACCCGTCATGTGATAGAAAAAAATATTACATCCGAACTCCGGGTGTGCCACAAGTAGGGCTGTCAAAAAAGCTCGTTGTTCGCGAACAGTTCGTGTTCGGTTCGTCAATGAGTTCGTGTTCGATTCGTTCGATAAGTAAACGAGACAAACACGAACAAATTTTTTTCGTTCGGTTAGTTAAACGAACCAAACATGAACAGTGATGCGTTCGTTCGTGTTCGAATCGTTATTGTTTGAAATATAAAATAATATAAAATAATTATATATAAAAAATTTATTATATTTTAAAACATTAAATTTTATAAATTATAATATATAATAAAATAATAATAATAATATATTAATATACTATAGTAATAATATACTAATATAGATATTAAATATTTATATAATATAAGTTATATAATTAATATATAGTATTATTTTTATATATTAATATTAGGGATGTCAGCTCGTCGTTCGCGAACAGCTCGTCGTTCGGTTCGTGTTCGACTCGTTCGTTAAGAAACGAACACGAGCTTATTTCAAACAAACTAAATTTTAAACGAACCGAACACGAACACAAGCTTTGTTCGTTCGTGTTCGGTTCGTTTACACCCCTAGGTGTGCGGACAACAGCCCGGATGCAGCGAGGGCGGACGGAGGTCCGTCCCCTCCTCCGCTACATCCGGGTTATCGTCTGTACATTCGGGGTGCAGATGTAATATTTTTTCCATGTGATAACCTGGCCAGAAATACCAAGGCCCCATCCTGACAGCGATCCTGCATGGAGCAAGAATAATGCTCCTGGGTCAAGCTGACTCCAAACGATTTGAATAAGTAAAAGAAGGATGGAAGCAACCCAAGCAACATAAATAAAATTGCCATGCCGCGCCATATTTTACACTGTTTTAATGGGAAAGAAGCAGATCCTTTGCACCAAAATGCAAGACAAATTAGTTATGTAACTTCTAACATTGGGTAAATCTGAAAGCAGTAAGAGTCTGCTGAATAATTATTGAACATCTGATTAAGAGCAATCTTTTAAGCAACGCCCAAATTTCTGTCACATTAATACTGCCGTGATTCTCTTAAATATGAAATATTTCTTAAAGATAACGGTTTTCATAATGAGCCTAATGATTTAAAACCAACAGATTCTAGTCAATGAATTGATAAATCTTTTTAAATCGAACATGTTCAATGCCCCCAGTTGCTTTAAAACCAATAAATGAGCCTAATGATTTAAAACCAATAAATTAAAAAGCTGTGAAGGTACGACTAAGCAGGAAAATCGGTGTTAGGCAGGAAAAAAAGGGGCATTAACATACATGCCACTTGATTCCTATGCATTTACATATCTAAAACCCAAACTTCAATTTATGCCACCTTATCTAAGTATGAAAAAGGTGCGTTTCACTTTTTAAAAGTTAAAATGGTGGTATTTTTGAAGTGATATGAAAGATTTAGGTGGTATGAATGTAAAAAAAAGTAAAATTTAGGTTTTAGATATGTAAATACATAAGAATTGGGTGGCATGCATGTAAGTGCCCTATATAAATGCCCCTTATAGATAGAAAGATTAACATACAAAACACGCAATTCTTATATATTTAGGTATCAATCACCTAAATTTAAATTTTTACATACATGCCATCTTACCCCTGCAAAAAAACGTTTTCACTTTTTAAAAGTAAAAAATGACAGCATTTATGGTGTGGTATGAAACATTTGGGTTGTATTAATGTAAAAACAAAAGTTAAGATGCCAGATAGGTAAGTACAGCATTTTTGATGTGATATGTATGTAAATGCCGCTTCTAGTTATTCTTTAAGACGGCTTCCCTCAACCAAATTTCTATTTTAGACAAAAAAAATTACAAATTAAATGAGATATTCCAAGTTTTGCACCAACTTTTTTGGGCTAACAACAGAAGATACATATGGTATGATTTCTCCGGAGCAAATTTATAAAGATATTTACCTGAGTAAGATCCTGTGAAATTTCTCTATGCCGATTCAATGTGTGAGAAAGAATTTCTGAGCCTCCTGATGAAACCCAAGTTTGTATTTGAGAATTAACAAGTTGGAGTTGTTTCAATAGTCATTCTAAGCTGGAATCGAGATCAAATTCTGTGCCATCGGACTGTATTGAAACGAGCCTGTGATATTGATTCAACTGCTCATCCAGCTGAGCTTCAAGTTTCCTGGCCTAAAAAGATAGAGGAAAGGTTTTTAAATGTAAAAGATGAAAATGGTAAGATATTATTGCATGCCTCGTCTTGTTCTTGGCAAATTTTCCATGAAGCAAACGAGATTAAAATGGAAATGAATTACAGATGGGAATTTATGTACATACCACTTAAATTTTATGTATTACATGTCTAACACCTAAATTTCATTTTTTTGCATTTACACTCCCTAAATCTTTCGCATCATATAAAAATACCGTCATATTGTAAAAAGACAACCTTTACTTCCATCAATGAGTTGGGCAACAATCCTTTTGATCAACAATCCATTTCATGACAATATAAGTAGACTGTTTATCAATGGGATCAGAAATCAAAATAAAGATTCTCAGTCACAATGCAATCAGAAACACGGACCAATTATTTCATCATCATATCCCATATGTGAATTCTTCTTTTTCTTAAGAAAAAAAACAAAAAAATGATTAAAAAAACTTACTATAAGGAGATCATCAGAGACCTAAATTCAACAAACATCACGGAAGGATAAATCCATCATATTGTTGCAGTTTTCTCATCACTTGATCAGCTTCAAATAATCGCAAAGACTGTATAACAAAAAACAACAATTTATGAAAATGAAACAACGCAGATCTAGTTTTGAGAAAATAGTTTAAAACCAGAAAGGGGCAACAAGAAGGCAATGAAGATCCCGAAGCAAATCGTAGCTTTGAGGAAAACTGTGACGAATTGGCCCTTAGTCCTCTTTTCCACTTCATATATACTGAGGGAATAAAAATCCTAGACAAAATAGCACTGACGTCGGCCAAGGACCGTGCATGGGTAAGGTGGCATATATGTAATAATTGATGTATAGCTGCTCTAGATGGGTAAATACATAAGATTTGAGAGGTGAGAATGTAAATCTTCTATTACAAATTTATTTTCCTTCAAAAAGGATAGATAGAAATTGAGATGAGATAAACCTAAAAATGACCACAATAATTGATTTGACATGCTAAATGGTTATACAGGTCATGTCATGTTCGAGTTACAAGTTGAAGACATCAGATTCATGTTGACTTTCTTTAATATACAAGTCTAATTCGACTCAAACAATCAGGCTAGATTCAGATCAAGCAATTTCTTATTGTGTCAATTTTAGGTTAAAGCTGCACCTAATTTGACACCTGCTACTTTCAATATTAAAATTCATCATCAAATGAACCAAATGCACAAAAATGTAGATGAAATAATACAATGAAAGTAACCGATTAGAAGTGATAATTAAATATTAATACAACACTCCGAACAAATTTTCTAAAAACTTGAAATTTTCTTTTTTTTTTAATGTCATCTATCATGTAAAAAAATCAATCAGAGTGGATCTTTATATCAATCCTAAATGTGACACGACATAAAAATGAGTCCAAAACTTCTGTAATGGCTATTTAAGAGAAGCATTATTCAATTACAATGAATAAGAATTCAATACAATTACAAAGAAATAAATCAGGGTCGATCTTTGCATCACATGTTTTATCACAAATGAGTACTCACATGGATCAAGTAACACCCTTATAGATTAAAACCCAAGCTGGTTGTTTTCCTTGAAATAATATTGTTCGTTTTTGTTTCCACAACTTTCAATAAGAGTAAAAATTCATGAATTCCACTCCAAAAGTATTACTTTTTTTCATGCAATTCATGCATTCATAATCACGAAAAAGAAATGCAAAACTACAATATATACTGAAAAACATAAAAGCGAGTAGGAGGAGATGCTTATAAATTGTAAACGCTTAATTAAAATAACAAAGGAGAGATAGCCAAACTCTCAAAAAAAGACGACCTTAATTTTGAAAAATCGACCTGATCCTAACGAAAATTCATATTTTGCTCAGAATAAATAAAATTTTCTTCTCATTGACGCATAAAACGCCTCTGAAGCCTGACATGCGAAGTGAATTTCATATTTCATCACAGCAAACTAGGAGGAAAATCACAAATTTCCATAAAAACAATTGAAACAAATAGCAATGCTATACAGAAAGACGTTTTTTTCTTCCATCTATGAGTTGACAACAAACCTTTTAATCAACAATCTATTTCATCACAATATAAGTAGGCTGTTTATCAATGTGATCAAAAATCAAAATAAATATTCTCAAAACACGGACCAATTAATTCATCATCATATCTGATATGTCATTTCTTCTTTTTCTTTAAAAAAACAAAAAATGATTAAAAAAACTTACAATAAGGAGATCACCAGAGACTTAAATTCAATGAATTTCACAGAAGAATAAATCCATCAGATTGTTGTAGTTTTCTCATCACTTGATCAGCTTTAAATACTCGCAAAAACTATATAACAAAAAAACGCAATTTATGAAAATAAAAGAAGGCAGATCTAGATTCGAGAGTATATTTTGAAACCTGAAAAGGGCGACAAGAAGGTGGAGAAGATCACGAAGCAGATCACAGCTTTGAGGAAAACCGTGACAAATTGGCCCTTAGCCCTCTTTTCCACTTCATATATATTGAGGGAATAAAAACCCTAGACAATATAGCCTTGGCGGCTGCCGAGAACCGCACATGGGTAAGGTGGCATATATGTAATAATTGAGGTAAAGGTGCTAGATAGGCAATACAAAAGATTTGAGTGGTGAGTATGTAAATCTTCTATTACAAATTTATTTTCCTTCAAAAGGGATAGAACAAAATTGAGACAAAATAAACCTAAAAATAACAGAATAATTGATTTGACATGCTAAATGGTCGTACGAGTCATGTCATGTTCGAGTTAACAAGTTGAAGACATATCGGATTCATGTTGACTTTCATTTACTATACAAGTCAAATTCGACTCAAACAATCAGGCTAGATTCAGATTAAGCAATTTTTTATTGTGTCAATTTTAGGTTAAAGCTGCACCTAATTTGACACCTGCTATTTTTAATATTAAAATTCATCATCAAATTAACCAAATGCACAAAAATGCAGATGAAATACTACAATAAAGGTAACCGAGTAGAAGTGATCATTAAATATTAATACAATCCTCTGAACAAAATTTCTAAAAAATTGAAATTTTCTTCTTTTTTATGTCTTCTAGCATATAAATAAATCAATCAGAGAGAATCTTTATATCTATCCTAAAGGTGACACGACAATAAAAATGAGTTCAAAACTTTTGTAATACTATTTAAGAGAAGCATTATTCAATTACAATGAATTAAAATCCAATACTCTCTTCAATTACAAGACAATAAATCAGAGTGGATCTTTACATCACATGTTTTATCACAAATGAGTGCTGACAAGGATCAAGTAACACCCTCATGGATTAGAACCCAAGCTGATTGTTTTACTTGAAATAATATTGTTCGTTTTTTGTTTCCGCAACTTTCAATGAGAGTTAAAATTCATAATTTCCAATCCATATTTATTACTTTTTTCTCATGCAATTCATGTATTCAAAATCACAAAAAGAATTGCAAAACCAACAATACAAACTGAAAAAACATGAAAGCCCATAGGAGGAGATGACTATAAATTGTAAACGTTTAACTAAAAGAACAGAAGACAGATAGCCAACCTCACAAAAAAATACGCCCTTAATTTCAAAATCGACCAGATCCTAAAAAAATATTCATATTTTGCTCAGAATAAATGAAATTTTCTTCTCATTGACACACAAAACGCCTCTAAAGCCTGACATGCGAAGTGAATTTCATATTTCATCAAAGCAAACTATGAGGAAAATAACAAATTTCCATAAAACAGTTGAAACAAATAGCAATGTTTTATTGAAAGATGAGGATTTCATCCATCTAATAGTTGGCAACAAACCTTTTGATCAACAATCTATTCAATGAAAATATAAGTAGGCTGCTTATCAACGGGATCAGATATCAAAATAAAGATTCTCAGTCATAGTGCAATCAGAAACACGGACCAATTAATTCATCATCATATCCCATATGTTATTTCTTCTTCTTCTTTAAAAAAACAAAAAAAACGATTAAAAAAACTCACTATAAGGAGATCATCAGAGACTTAAATTCAATAAACATCCCGGAAGGATAAATCCATCAGATTGTTGCAGTTTTCTCATCATTTGATCAGCTTCAAATATACGCAAAAATTGTATAACAAAAAATGACAATTTATGAAAATAAAAGATGGCAGATCTAGATTTGAGAAAATAGATTGAAACCGGAAAGGAACGACAAGAAGGAGGTGAAGATCATGAAGCAGATCGCAGCTTTGAGGAAAACCGTGACCAATTGGCCCTTGGCCTTCTTTTCCACTTCATATATATTGAGGGAATAAAAACCCTAGACAATATAGCACTGGCGGCGGCCAAGGACCGTGCATGGGTAAGGTGGCATATATGTAATAATTGAGGTATAGGTGCTAGATAGGTAAATACATAAGATTTGAGTGGTGAGTATGTAAATCTTCTATTACAAATTTATTTTCCTTCAAAAAGGACAGAATAAAATTGACACGAGATAAACCTAAAAATGACCAGAATAATTGATTTGACATGCTAAATTGTCGTACAGGTCATGTCACGTTCGAATTAACAAGTAGAAGACATCGGATTCATGTTGACTTTCCCTTTAATATACAAGTCTAATTCGACTCAAACAATTAGGCCAGATTCAGATCAAGCAATTTCTTATTGTGTCAATTTTAGGTTAAAGCTGCCCCTAATTTGACACCTGCTACTTTCAATATTAAAATTCATCATCAAATGAACCAAATGCACAAAAATGCAGATGAAATACAACAACAAAGGTAACCGAGTAGAAGTGATCATTAAATATTAATACAATCCTTCGAACAAATTTTCTAAAACATTGAAATTTTCTTCTTTTTTATGCCTTCTATCATATAAACAAATCAATCAAGTGGATCTTTTATCCATCACAAAAATGACACGACAATAAAAATGAGTCCAAAACTTCGGTAATACTATTTAAGATAAGCATTATTCAATTACAATGAATAAAAATCGAATACTCTCTTCAATTACAAAAAAATAAATCAGAGTGGATCTTTACATCACATGTTTTATAATAAATCAGAGTGTACAAAAAAATAAATCAGAGTGGATCTTTACATCACATGTTTTATCACAAATGAGTGCTCACAAGGATCAAGTAACACGCTTATAAATTAAAACTCAAGCTAGTTGTTTTACTTGAAATAATATTGTTCGTATTTTGTTTCCGCAACTTTCAATGAGAGTTAAAATTCATAAATTCCAATCCAAATTTATTACTTTTTTCTCATGCAATTCTAGCATTCAAAATCACAAAAAAAAACTGCAAAACCTACATTACAAACTGAAAAACATGAAAGCCCGTAGGAGGAGATGACTATAAATTGTAAACGTTTAATTAAAAGAATGTAGGACAAATAGCCAACCTCGCGAAAAAAGACGGCCTTAATTTCGAACTCGAAGAGATCTTAACGAAATATTCATCGCTTGCTTAGAATAAATGAAATTTTCTTCTCATTGACGCACAAAACGCCTTTGAAGCCTGACATGCGAAGTGAATTTCATTTTCATCACAGCAATCTATTAGAAAATTAATAAATTTCAGTAAAAACAGTTGAAACAAACACCAATGCTATACAGAAAGACGACCATTTCTTCCATCTATGAGTTGGGCAAAAAACATTTTGATCAACAATCTATTTCATGACAATATAAGTAGACTGTTTATCAATGGGATCAGAAATCAAAATAAAGATTCTCAGTCACAATGCAATCAGAAACACGGACCAATTAATTCATCGTCATATCCCGCATGTCATTTCTTTTACAAAAAAACAAATAAAATACTCACTATAATGAGATCATCAAAGACTTAAATTCAATAGACATCACAAAAGGATAAATCCTAGTTTTCTCATCACTTGATCAGCTTCAAATAATCGTAAAAACTGTATAACAAAAAACGACAATTTATGAAAATAAAAGGCGGATTTAGATTCGAGAAAATAATTTGAAACCAGAAAAAGGCGACAAGAAGGCAGTGAAGATCACGAAGCAAATCGCAGCTTTGAGAAAAAGCATGGCAAATTGGCCCTTAGCCCTCTATTCCACTTCATATATATTGAGGAATAAAAAACCTATACAAGATAGTACTGACAGCGGCCAAGGAACGCGCATGGATAAGGTGGCAAATATGTAATAATTGAGGTATAGGTGCTAGATAGGTAAATACATAAGATTTGAGTGGTGTGTATGTAAATCTTCTATTACAAATTTATTTTCCTTCAAAAAGGATATAACAAAATTGAGAAGAGATAAACCTAAAAATCACCATAATAATTGAGTTGACATGCTAAATGGAGATACAGGTCATGTCATGTTTGAGTTAACAAGTTGAAGAAATATCGGATTCATGTTGACTTTCCATTTAATATACAAGTCTAGTTCGACTCAAACAATCAGGTTCGACTCAAACAATCAGGCTAATCAGGCTAGATTCAGATCAAGCAATTTCTTATTGTGTCAATTTTAGGTTAAAGTTGCACCCAATTTGACACCTCCTACTTTCAATATTAAAATTCATCATCAAATGAACTAAATGCACAAAAATGCAGATGAAATACTACAATGAAGGTAACCAAGTAGAAGTGATAATTAAATATTAATACAACACTCCGAATAAATTTTCTAAAAAATTGAAATTTTCTCTTTTTTTATTCCTTCTATCATATTAAAAAATCAATCAGAGTGGATCTCTGTATCCATCCTAAATGTGACACAACAATAAATATGAGTCCAAAACTTCTGTAATTCTATTTAAGAGAAGTATTATTCAATTACAATGAATTAAAATTCAATACTCTCTTCAATTACAAAGAAATAAATCAGAGTGGATCTTTACATCGCATGCTTTACCACAAATGAGTGCTCACAAGGATCAAGTAACACCCTTACAGATTAAAACCCAAGCTGGTTGTTTTACTTGAAATAATATTGTTCCCTTCTTGTTTCCACAACTTTCAATGAGTTACAATTCATAAATTCCAATCCAAAAGTATTACTTTCTTCTCATGCAATTCATGCATTCAAAATCACAAAAAAGAGTTGCAAAAACTACATTACAAACTGAAAATCATGAAAGCCCGTAGGAGGAAATGATTATAAATAGTAAACGTTTAATTAAAATAATGGAGGATAAATAGCCAAACTCTCAAAAAAAGACAACCTTAATTTTGAAATAGACCAGTTCCTAACAAAATATTCATATTCTGCTCAGAATAAATGAAATTTTCTTCTCATTGACACATGAAATGCCTCTGAAGCCTGACATGCGAAGTGAATTTCATATTTCATCACAACAAACTAGGAGGAAAATCACATAATTTCCATCAAAACAATTGAAACAATTAGCAATGCTATACAGAAAGACGACCTTCTCTTCCATCTATTAGTTGGCAACAAACCTTTTGATCAACAATCTATTTAATGACAATATAAATTGATTGTTTATCAACGGGATCAGAAATAAAAAAAAAAAGATTCTCAGTCACAATGCAATCAGAAACACGGACCAATTAATTCATCATCATATCCCATATGTCAGTTCTTTTTCTTTAAAAAAAACATAAAATGATGAAAAAGCTCACTATAAAGAGATCATCAGAGACTTAAATTCAATAAACATCACCGAAGGATAAGTCCATCAGATTGTTGCAGTTTTCTCATCACTTGATCAGCTTCAGATATTCGCAAAAACTGTATAACAAAAAATGACACTTATGAAAATAAAAGAAGGCGGATTCTACATTCGAGAAAATAGTTTGAAATCGGAAAGGGGCGACAAGAAGGGGTTGAAGATCGCGAAGCAGATCGCAACTTTGAGAAAAATCGTGATGAATTGGCCCTTACCACTCTTTTCCACTTAATATATATTGAGGGAATAAAAACACTAGACAATATAGCATTGACGACGGCCAAGGACCGCGCATGGGTAAGGTGGCATACAACAACAACAAAGCATGGGTAAGGTGGCATATATGTGATAATTGAAGTATAGGTGCTAGATAGGTAAATACATAAGATTTAGTGATGAGTATGTAAACGTATGTAAATCTTCTATTACAAATTTATTTTCCTTCAAAAAGGATAGAACAAAATTGAGATGAGATAAACCTATGACACGAGATAAACCTAAAAATGACCAGAATAATTGATTTGACATGCTAAATGGTCGTACAGGTCATGTTATGTTCGAGTTAACAAGTATAAGACATCGGATTCATGTTGACTGTCCATTTAATATACAAGTCTAATTCGACTCAAACAATCAGGCTAGATTCAGATCAAGCAATTTCTTATTGTGTCAATTTTAGGTTAAAGCTGCACCTAATTTGACACCTGCTACTTTCAATATTAAAATTCATCATCAAATGAACCAAATGCAAAAAAATGCAGATGAAATACAACAACAAAGGTAACCGAGTAGAAGTGATCAATAAAAATTAATACAATCCTCCGAACAAATTTTCTAAAACAATGAAATTTTCTTCTTTTTTATGTCTTCTATCATATAAACAAATCAATCAGAGTGGATCTTTATATCTATCCTAAAAGTGACGCGATGATAAAAATGAGTTCAAAACTTCTGTAATGCTTTTTAAAAGAAGCATTATTCAATTACAATGAATTAAAATCCAATACTCAATCCAATACTCTCTTCAATTACATCAATTACAAAAAAAAAAAAATAAATCAGAGTGGATCTTTAAATCACATGTATCACAAATGAGTGCCCACAAGGATCAAGTAACACCCTCATAGATTAAAACCTAAGCTGGTTGTTTCAATTGAAAAAATATTGTTCCTTTTTGTTTCCGCAACTTTCAATGAGAGTTAAAATTCATAAATTCCAATCCAAATTTATTACTTTTTTTCTCATGCAATTCATGCATTCAAAATCACAAAAAGAATTGCAAAGCCTACATTACAAACTGAAAAACATGAAATCCAGTGGGAGGAGAAGACTATAAATTGTAAACGTTTAATTAAAAGAACGTAGGACAGATGGCCAACCTCGAAAAAAAAGACGACCTTAATTTCGAAATCGACCAGATCCTAACCAAATATTTATATTTTGCTCAGAATAAATGAAATTTTCTTCTGCTCATTTATATTTTGCTCAGAATAAATGAAATTTTCTTCTCATTGACGCACAAAACGCCTCTAAAGCCTGACATGCGAAGTGAATTTCATATTTCATCACAGCACTCTATGAGAAAAATCACAAACTTCCATAAAAACGGTTGATAAAAATACCAATGGCTCGCCGACGAGCACCGGTTAGCATGCCGTCGGTGCGACCGAGAGAAAGGGGACCGACCGAGAGAGAGGCGCGACGGGGCGACGGCGCGACAAGGAGCTAGGGCACGCGATGGGGGGCTCGGGAGCGGCAGGCGTGCGTTTTATAGGGATTTTTTTTTTTAATGTAACTTTAAATATATGTGGATCTGGATGTTTGGGACGCGCTCGCATGATTCGTTTAATCATCTAAGATCATCTAGACAATTTTGTCGATGAACGAGTCAATTTCACTCTTTACTAGGTGAACAAGATCTGTTGGTATGATCTAAACCTTTCACTAGAAAAAAAAAAATTTAATGACCATCACTTAATCGACTGTCCAAATTTAGCCAAACAATCCTGACAGTGTGCCCCACAACACGCTTCAGAAAATCATGAGTGGATGTCTTGTACAATGGGATTTAATGCATGCATCAAGTAAGATTTCATAATGCTCGAGTGAAAGCCCTACACTCTATACTTGCGGCATTAAAAATTGACGTCAACAACTCGTACATAGAAGAGGCGCGTTGCAACGAACTACCCATGCCTTCTTGCAGAGGTGGTATGGTTTGATTCCTTCAAGGGCATATTGAGGAGGCTAGGCAGCATGGACATCAGTCAACTCAGCAATTGGCACCACTTGATGGCATGGCCGGTTGCGCACTTTCACTCCAAAGCTTTTTGTCACACAGAGGAGAAAAAGGCGGTAGCTAAGCGAAGGATAATTGAGATTGTCTCTCAGATGCAGGAAGCAGAGCATAATGTCATCCAAACCGAGAAAATGTTGACGTTCTCGACAAGGCAAAGAAGGCAAGGCAACACGAGGAAAACGTGTCAGCTCTTAAGAAAGACAATGAGAGTTTAAAACTGGCAATGGTCAAGATAGTGACCGTCGAGAAGCATATTGAGGGGCTCTCCCAACAAATCTAGGAGGGGCATCTCCTTGGCCACCTATAGTTTTGTTAAAGAGGACTTGGTCACCTTAAGTGGGCGGACATGAAGTAGTTTGTCACCCATTTTTGTAGTGAATGAGCATTATTCGGCTCCTTATGCATTTATCACAAAAAAGAGTTACAAGAAAGAGGAAAATGACCTAAAACACTCCCAATACAACATACTCAAAAAAACAAAAACAAAAAAAAACTAAATATCCTCTTCCCCCAAAAAAGGAAAATACAAAAAATAAAAAAATAAAACACAATACAAAAATAAAAGCTAACAAATAATATCTTTCAAAGCTAAATCCATCAGAATAGGAGGAACACACATAGAAATCATGGTGTCGTGCATCTTCAAGCCAGCTTTAGCCGCTCAATGAGCAACCATATTTCCTTCTCTCCTAATATGAGACCACTTGATAATCAAATTCTTGGAAAGTGAAAAAATCTTTTTCATGTGAATATTGCTGCTCCAATGATAATCAATCTGCAATTGATAACACTTCTAAAGAATCAAAGAGTCAGTTTCAATAATAATGTGCTTCCAACCTAACTTCACAGCCACTTGTAGAGCAAAAATTAATGCAACGGTTTTAG